CCCCCCCCCCGACCGGCCCGCCCAATAAGAACTCAGCACCCCGACTGAGACGAGCGTCTAGTTTGAACCGCACCAGACCGCCTGCGTCACACAGCTCCGGTGAGAGAGAAAATATACACATATACACATTATGTGCAGCGAACAATAAAATCACGCAAACACTTATTTAAATCTGCTTCAGACTTCACATCACTGTTCAAAAGTTTGGGGTCAGTCAGATTTAAAAAAAAAAATAATAATCTATATTTTTATTCATCAGTGACACATTAAACTGATGAAAAGTGACAGTAAAGACATTTATGATGTTACAAAAGATTTCTATTTCGAATAAATGCTGTTCTTTTGAACTTTCTGTGAATCCTGAAACAGAATGCATCACAGTTTCCACAAAAATATTGTGCAGCACGACTGTGTTTCAACATTGATAATAAGCAGCATATTATACTGATTTCTGAAGATCATGTGACACTGAAGACTGGAGGAATGATGCTGAAAATACAGCTGCGCATCACAGAAATACATTACAGTTTAACTGATATTCACTTAGAAAACTGCTGTTTTAAATTATAATAATATTTCACTATTTTTACTGTATTTTTGATCAAATTAATGCAGCACTTGCGAGCAGACGAGACTACTTTCAGAAACATCAGAAAAATCTTACTAACCCCAGACTTTTGAGCAGCAGTGATACTACAGGAAACTAACACATCTGTTAAAACTCACTCACATTTACTGTTTGTTTTGTTTTTTTGGTGAATTTTTACAGGCGAAGTCCTGTCATTTTAATAGGAATCTAAAAGATTTCTACATGCATATTTCGCATTGCCTTCAGTCAGTCATGCAGATTCACCGTGTTGACCCACAGAAAGCTGCTTGGCTGTAAAGTGACTGTGCTTCATACATCAATACACTACTGACAATGGACTTTTCCTGCAAAACTTCACTGATGTGTTGCTATTGTGACTGCAGTAAGTGGTAGATGTATCTCACAAAGGTCAACAGGGTCATGGCTTCAGTTCCCAGGAAGCACACTGATGACATGTTTACTATAAATGCACCGCAGGTTGATTTGGATAAAAGCTTCTAGAATCTTCCTGAATGTCATGTCAGATATGATCAGCCTGTCACTGAGGCTGTTGTTCACGTGTGTCCATCAGATGAGCTGATTCCTGTGAGTCTGAAGAAAGAGGGTCAGGATCAGGCAGACCTGCGGCCGTTCTCTAAACCGGAGCTGGCGCTGACGCAGAGCTTCAGACTGATCGCCTCAGACGACTGGTGAGTCTGACAGCAGATGTGATCGTTCATCACACACAGAGAGAAATCCACAGATCCTCTTGTAAAGTCGTTAGCGTAAATTTGTTCTGTTCGTGAAGGGAGAAGAAGATCGAGGGGTTGAACTTCCTGCGTAGTTTGGCTCAGTATCATCCTGACGTGCTCATGAGCAGGATTCATGACGTGTGTCTCGCTCTTATTCAGGAGGTCAGTCACTACTGCAGCTCACGCTTGCAAACATTGATTCAGAGCAGCATCGCTTTCACAAATCATGGAAGTACCAGTGGTAATTAGTGATGAAACAAACTCTTCTCATGATTGATCTCATGTGTGTCTCTCTCTGATGAAGGTTCGTAACCTGCGCTCCGGTGTGTCTCGTGTGGCTGTGGTGACGCTGGGAGAGATGTTCGCGGTGCTGCAGAAGGGAATGGATCAGGAGCTGGATGGGACGGTCAGAGCTCTGCTGCAGAAAGCCGGAGAATGCAACGCCTTCATCAGACAAGACGTGGAGCGAGCGCTGGAGAGCATGGTGCAGCACTGCACTCTCACACGCAGCATGAGCGCGCTGCTCGCCGGAGGACTCGGGTCAGAGATCACCTGCGTCACATGATCACACACACACACCTCGAAGCCATCAAACCTTGCTGTCACTCAATCTGCTGCACGTCTTCTGTCTCTGATTGAGAGTTTAGAGTGTGTTATCCAGTCGAAGCTCTTTCAGTGTAATTCTGGATCTTGACTGATTTTGATCAAGTAAGCGTCAGAATAACGTCAGTAATATCTCCAGATGAACACTTACTGCACTGAAGCAGCTCAGCTTTACTTGATTCTCCATCAATCATGTTTTAGAGTCTCAAATCTGATCCTCAGGATCTTTTGAGGAGCGTTTGTTTCCAGAAGCTTTACTTTCACTGTTCCTCAGCGGAGGAATGATCTTCACAAGCCTCCAGAACATCTCACATCTTCTGAGGAGCCTTTATTTCTTCAGCTCTCAATCACTGCATTATATGTTTGGAGCATTTCACTCTCATCTCACTGAGACAGATTACTGCAGATATAGACTGATATAGACGACTGATATTCAGATCATTTTATGTCAGTATCTGCTGTACTGTTATAAACATCTCACTGATTTACATCACACGCAGCAGAATTTCATCTTATAAATATCAGCATCTGCAGCAAATTCATATTTTTAGCATCAGCTTCTTAGGAGGCAGAGGAGGAGACGGCTTTCCCTGCAGACACGACACCTTCAGCGGCTGACACGAGTCTGGACACAACACACACACACACAACCGTAAAATAACATTCTCATCAGCTGAAATATAATAAACATGAACTGAAAGATACAATATATGTGACCCTGGAGCGCAAAACCAGTCATAAGGGTCAATTTTTCGAAATTGAGATTTATACATCATCTGAAAGCTGAATACATAATCTTTCCATTGATGTATGGTTTGTTAGGATCGGACAATATTTGAAAATCTGGAATCTGAGGGTGCAAAAAAATCTAAATATTGAGAAAATCATCTTTAAAGTTGTTCAAATGAAGTTCTTAGCAATGCATATTACTAATCAAACATTAAGTTTTGATATATTTACGGTAGGACATTTACTAAATATCTTCATGGAACATGATCTTTACTTAATATCCTAATGATTTTTGGCATAAAAGAGAAATGTATAATTGTGACCCATACAATGTATTGTTGGCTATTGCTACAAATATCCCCCAGCGACTCAACACTGCTTTTGTGCTGCAGGGACACAGATGAGCCATAAATGCTTGATGGAGCAAATATGATACTCAACAAAAACACATATGCACACTTTGATTGTTCCATTACAGATATTTGTATTTTTCTGACTAGTTTGATATAGAGGGTTAGAGATGTTATTCTGTAATGTGTTTCGTTCACAGTCATCTGAACTCAGTAGTGCGCAAGTGTGCGGCTCTGCATCTCAGCGGTCTGGTGGAGCGGGTCGGAGCCGCTCGTCTGCTGTCTGGAGCTAAAGATCTGACCGACCGCATCCTACCAGCCGTCTGTAAGCTGGTGCAGGACTCGTCTCAGGAGGCCAGGTGAGCGGCGCAGGGGTCAGGTCACGCAGCCTGACACACTCTCGCCTCAGGGCTTCACGCTTTCATTGCTGTGTCTCTCTCAGGTACTTTGGTCGACGCATGCTGCTGTTTTTGTCCTCTCACCGTGACTTTGATAAAATGATGGAGAAGTGCATCTCTGCTAAAGACCTGCCGACCATCAGAGACGCCGTCTTCACGCTCAAAACCAAGGTGTGAAATATTTTTACAATTTCAAATATCTGTTCTCTATGTGAATATGTGTTAGACTGTAATGTATTTCTGTGATGTGCAGCTGTATTTTCAGCATCATTCCTCCAGTCTTCAGTGTCACATGATCTTCAGAAATCAGTATAATATGCTGATCTGCTGCTCGAGAAACATTTCTGATTATTATCAATGTTGAACACAGTCGTGCTGCACGATATTTATTTTATGATATATTTTATTTTTCAGGATTCACAGATGAACAGAAAGTTCAAAAGAACAGCATTTATTTGAAATAGAAATCTTTTGTAACATTATAAATGACTTTACTGTCACTTTTAAACAATCGAATGTGGCCTTGATGAATAAAAGTATTAATTAATTTTTTATTCATCTTATTTTAAACTTTTGAATGGTAGTGTATCACAGTTTTCACAAAAATATTGTGCAGCACAAGTATTTTCAGCATTGATAATAATCAGAAATGTTTCTCGAGCAGCAAATCAGCATATTAGAATGATCTAATTATTTATATTAATATTATATAATACATCATGTTTTTACACTGTTTTTATGCATTGCATTACAGTCATTTTTTAAATTATATTTAAAATTATTTAAATTATTATCATTTGAAATTATTGAAATGAAATTTTTTTTTTTCTGAGTCCACAGTTATGCTTGTGGTTATCTAGTTTATTTGCTATTAAGAAGCTCACAAAACTCCTCAGAAGCACTGTCTGTATCTGCATGGATCTTTGCAAAAATGAGAGTTTGCATCTGTCTCTCAAAATGAAGTGAAATCGGGCGATTTATGCTGTTTGTTCAGTTTATGTGTCAACACACATCAGATAGGCAGTGAATGTGTCAGTGAGTCTTAACCTCGGGTGTGTGTGTGTGTGTGCGCGTACATGCGTGTGTGTATCTGTGTGTGTGCGTGTGCATGTGCGTGCGTGTGTGTGTGTGTGCGTGCGTATCTGTGCGTGTGTATATCTGTGTGTGTGTGTGTGTATCTGTGTGTGTGCATGTATGTATGTGTGCGTGTTTGTGTGTGTGCGTGCGTGCATGCGTGTATCTGTAGGTGTGTGTGCATGCATGTGTGCGCGTGTGTGTGTGTGTGTGTGTGTGTGGGCGTGCGTGCGTGTATATCTGTGTGTGTGTGTGGGCGTGCGTGCGTGTATATCTGTGTGCGTGCGTGCGTTTGTGTGTGTGTGTGTGTGTGTGTGTATATGTCTGTGTGTGTGTGTGTGTGTATATGTATATCTGTGTGTCTGTGTGTGTGTTTTTGTGACACATGAGGACACAAATGTGTATAATGGCATGGGTATTACACGGAGAAGGTGACTTATGAGGACATTACCCCATGTCCCCATTTTTCAAAACGCTTATAAATCACACAGAATGAGTTTTTTTGAGAAAGTAAAAATGCAGAAAGTCTCCTGTGAGGGGTAGGTTTAGGGGTAGGGTTGGTGTAGGGCAATAGAATATACGGTCTGTACAGTATACAAACCATTACGCCTATGGAGAGTCCCCACTTTTCACAAAAACAAACCTGTGTGTGTCAGGGCTTGGGGGAGATGCCTCAGGACGCTCCGTCGGCGCGGGGCAGGCGCTCTCTCTCAGGCAGTGGGGTGATGCGCACCTCGTCCCTCACGCGTGATCCTCTGAGCGGCAGCAGGTATGACACGCCAGCCACACGTCTGTTCATGTGATGCTTCCCGTTCGCTCATCAGCCGTGTGTTCGGCAGGGACTGCGGTCAGGCGGGGAGTAAAGCGGCCGTCCACAGCCTCACAGACCGGAGCGAGTACGTCAAACAGATGAAGACACTGCTCAACTCCAAGGACTTCAGGGAGAGAATCAAGGCCATCGATCAGCTGGTGTGCGACTGCGAGGAGAACCCGGCTCTGGTCATCGGCAGCCTGTTCCCGGTAATCCTGATCATCCTGATGATGGTGGTGATGTTGATGCTGATGATTATGATTATGTTGATGATGATGCTGCTGATGATGATGATGGTGGGGATGATGATGATGATGATGATGATGATGATGGTGGTGATGATGCTGATGCTGATGATGATGATGATGATGATGATGATGGTGGTGGTGATGGTGATGATGCTGATGATGATGCTGATGGTGGGGATGATGATGATGCTGATGATGATGATGATGGTGGGGATGATGATGATGATGATGCTGATGGTGGGGATGATGATGATGCTGATGATGATGATGATGGTGGGGATGATGATGATGATGATGCTGATGGTGGGGATGATGATGATGATGATGATGGTGGGGATGATGATGATGCTGATGGTGGGGATGATGATGATGATGATGCTGATGGTGGAGATGATGATGATGCTGATGGTGGGGATGATGCTGCTGATGATGATGATGGTGGTGATGATGGTGGTGATGGTGATTATGATGATGCTGATGGTGGTGATGAGGATGATGATGATGATGGTGGTGATGAGGATGATGATGATGATGATGGTGGTGATGGTGATTATGATGATGCTGATGGTGGTGATGAGGATGATGATGATGATGGTGGTGATGAGGATGATGATGATGATGATGGTGGTGATGGTGATGGTGATTATGATGATGCTGATGGTGG